ATATTAATTAATGATGATTGAAACTGGCAGTAACAGTGGTCATTCGGAATACAGCTAATAGAGATCAAAATTCACTCAGTGTTTTGCAAATGTGACACCGCCATACCCAACAACTTAACTGATTTCATATTCTGCGTACATGCGTTGAATAGATGTAATGTATTTTTGTTAAGACCATCCTCTTCAGCCTTCTGCGTGAACAGCATAAGCTTGTAACATATCTGACATGAATTAACGAAACGATACATGATAAAGATTCACTGTATTTAATTATTGTTTTAAAATTGTACCGACTCATTCTCAAAACTAATCGCTGTTGATTTGGTTTTCTGTTTAATCTGATTTGAATTATAAAAATTGGATGTGATATGCGGACATGAATTTTTAATTCTATCATTATCCATTGGGAATGGTCGATTTGTTTGGTTCCATGATCTTCAGCTCAGTTGGTAAAGAGGAAATATGTATTTAAAAACGACATTTTTTTACCCACTAAGACTAGGTTTCCCATGCATTTTAGGGGGCTCTGATTCCGACATTGTTTATTGGAGATGATCTATGTTTCATAGTCGATTCGATGCCGTCAGTCATGACTGCTTTATTCGTTAATGCAGTGACCAGAATAGATCTTGTTTCTTTTGTGCAAAGTGGTATGCCTTTTTATGCAATAAGTATGAAAGGATGAGTAACAGAGTGGAATTCAGTCCTGCAATCTTTCGACTAGGCGGACTTTGTATCGATTAATCTTTTATGACTGTGTTTTCTGAGCCTCTTGCCGATTTGGTACCAGAAGAGCAGTTTCGCGGGTATTCGTGTCTCCATCCACAATGTCCGACGAAGTCGTTTCACAGATGTCGAATTTTATTTTGTATTGCGTGATCAAACTTGGCGGTTTGCATTAACACTTGAGACACGATTCTGGATACCAAGGTTGTGAAATCGGTATTGCAGGTTCTGGGGGCAATTTTCATGGCTAGTCACCGAATACGGATGTCATAATTAAACGGCCGGCCGGCAAATGTGACAATGACGCAATAGTCTAGGAGCGTGATGTAGACACTTATCGAGACACAAACATTAATCAGTTAATTCAAATAATACAAGGCGCGGCACTTTATGTGGGTAATATAGCATTGCCATTTAAGATCGTATGGTATATTTATAGACACGTCGACATTATAGTTGTTTGAATGCTCATTGAGTTCCTTCTGAAAAAAATGTACCTACCATCATGAGTATTAAATTTTCAAAAGTTTTTTGTTGTTGATGGTTAGCCCTGCTGCAGTTGTCCAACTCTTTGCGGAGAAAACGGTATTTTGATAAGAACCCAAGTAGGATTTCACGGGACGTTTAAGCATAGTATCGTTGACGTATTCGTAATTGTTAAATCTTGTAAACTACCATTTTATTAGCAGCAACCGTCGATCTTCTTTTGTCTCCTGCTGCGGACTGGGAACGTTGTCTATGTGGTCATATACTCAGAAAATAACTTTAGACTTAGGAGAATAACTGCTAAAAACTACCCACAGTCTCGGTACCACACGGAAGGAACTTCGCAGTATAATTCAAAAATGATGCACATACCGTATGAACGCCAAAATTGAGGTTCTGGCGAAGTGTCAGTTGACAAACTAATCACATCGGTAGTAGTTTGACTTTGAGCAAATTAGTAAATGTCATGCCGGTTTTCGACTACACTTTGAATCCTTGCATATAAGAACTTCGGAAGCTTTCGATAGAATCTGGGTAGCAGCTTTGTTTATTGTGATGAAAAGCTTGCTGAGTTATTCAGCCAAGCTTTGAATACTACTGAACGAACCCCGTCATGTGCGTTGGAGGCTTTGTTTCGTATGTGAGTGAAATAAGCACATAATTTTCCTTCATTTAACCAGCTTAGAGGGTTTCGCTGTGTGATCTGGATAGTGAATCCATTGAAATTCAGAGTAAAAAGATATTGAAAGGAAAATGTTGAATCCCATTCATCTTCAGGAAATCCCGATTTATGACATTTAGATTTCGAATGATTGTTGGTGCTCGAGCTTTACGTCTAGGGCGTTCTCTCAGGCAGTCCCACTGCTCCTTCCGTGTGACATCAGTAGAGACATCGACGTGTTGGACAACATTCTCATCGTTCATCATCTGCCACGTTTAGCGCAGGTGTTCATGTGAGGTCACTGTACCATAGTGGTTCTCCTAAATTTCGCTTTAATGCTAAATTTACAAGAGTAGTCAATGTAAATCTAAAAAAACCATTTCAAGCAGGTTTAATATTATTATTCTCGGCAAATCTGCTGTTCACAATTTTTCAAGATGACAACGGCGACAAACCACAACCCTGTCTAACATTACCTTCGTACACTCGCCCAAACATTTAACTAGCTTGAACTTTTTCGTGATTAGTTATCAATTATTACTGATATCATTTAACAGGTTGATCTGCAGTGGCTTCAAGTGCTGGCCGAAGGTTGGGCAACTCCATTAAACGGTTTCATGACCGAACGCCAATATCTTCAGTGTCTGCACTTCGGTCAGTTGCTAGAGGGTACGTATCATTATGGGGCTTCTTTCATATGGTTTAAAATCTACATTTTGTAGATGGCGGCATTAATCAGTCAATACCAATCGTACTACCTGTCGACGACCAGGCGAAGAAGGTTATCGAAAAGAGTGGTACATCGTCCGTCGTCCTCGAATACCAAGGTGAGCCAGTGGCCATGTTGCAGACTTTCGAAATCTACTCTCATCGCAAGGAGGAACGATGCGCTCGTCAATTCGGCACCGTCAACGTTGGTCATCCTGCCATAAAGGCAATTATGAATGTATATTTACTTTTGTGCTTTTTATTTAAAGCATTCAGGTCATAATGGAATCAGGAGACTGGCTACTTGGTGGCCCTCTGAAAGTATTCAAACGGATTGTGTGGAATGATGGCTTGGATGAGTATCGATTGACACCACTGGAAATCCGCCAGAAGCTAGCCAAACTTGGCGCAGACGCCGTTTTTGTGTTCCAGCTTCGAAACCCGGTTCACAATGGTCATGCGTTGCTCATTTCGGATACTAGAAAGCATTTGCTTGAAGCTGGTTACAAGAAACCGGTTCTGTTACTTCATCCGATAGGAGGTTGGACGAAGGATGACGACGTTCCTTTAGACGGTATGGTTTTCTCTGCGTTTTAGTAAGTATGTTTTAGTGTATAATAAGCGTTTTCATCATGCAGTGATGCATGTTCACACAAAAAATTTGCGCTAATCAAGCTTATCATTAATTCCTAATCGTATCATTTCATACAGGGTTTGCTATTTAAATAAGACCATCAAATGAACCTTCCTTCTCAAGATAAATAGGAAAGAATAAGTCAGACAGTTTCTCTGACCGCTTGTCATTTCGGATCGCAGAGGCAGCAGAGTCTGACAGAATTTATAACGTTTCTGATTCTATGTCAGGGCCTGGGCGTTGACAGAAGATAACCTGAATCTGAAGTAAAGTTCATTGAAGTACTTTCCTGATC